ACCTCCTATAAATGAAATAATACAGTATTAGTCTTTTTGTGACTGGCTTATTTCACTTAGCTCATTGTCCTCAAGGTTGTCACATGTTGTCATATGCTAGAATTTTGTAAAGAGGAGTCTCTTGTAGATACCATATAGTGGCATCTCGTTTTTTTGAAAATACATTCTATCAACCTCTGTCTTTTGACTGGAGAATTTAATTCATTTATTTTTAAAATAATTGTTAATAAGGAGAAACCTGCTTCTGCCCTTTTCCTATTTGTTTTCTATATCAAAGTACTGAATTTTATGTTCAAGTACAATAAATATTTCTCTTACTGCCCACTACTCCAGAGAAGCATGGAGGCCAACAAGTCATATTTGTAGGCTCCTAAAGGCACTGTCTTAGATTGCTTCTTGTCAGAGCTGTTGAGAGCATTTTGGCCCCTTCCATGCTATAAGTACAAGATTCTCTCTGTATCCAAGGACATACTGACTGTGATCAGCAGAATAACGATTCCTCTCTTTCTCTTATCTGTTTGGTAACCTCTGAAGACAGAAAAAGTTTGAAGTCAGTAATTTATATCATTATTATATATGGACCAGTAACTCAGTAAGTTTATGAAGAAAACCATAAAACAAACTTAATTTTTACTCTAAAATAAAACAAGCCAAACTATGAAAGAAGAAGGAAATTATGATATCAAATTTATCAGTTAACTAACTAGAAAACAGAAAAATGATAGATTTGGGCATTGAAACTTAGATTTGGAACCTTGGAAAAATCCAAATCAATAGGCAACTTCTGGCTAACTAGAAGATGAGAAGGAAAAAAATACAATGCCATAAACCAAAAGAAACTTGCTAAATATACCATGGAGAAAATTTAAAATCAAAAGAGAATATAGTTCCTCATTAGGTTTAAAATTTCATGAAATGACCGATTTTCTTGGAAAATGTAAACAAAAAGAAATGTGGAACAGGTAAAACATGACCAAGATAGACCTTACTAATCCAACACTTCTAAGAAAAGTACTTATCTATCTGAATATTAGGTAAGGTAGCGTTATGGTGTACTTGCTGTGTGTGGTAATAATGATATTGTGTTTATATGATAGGTGAATTGCTTAGGGTTGAAGTGTCAAATTACTATGTCCATGTGGAGAGATAAACCTAATAAGGGAAAACATTCGACAATTGTTGAATCTAGATTGTAAGAATTTAAGTGTTTATTTTAATGTTCTATCAACTTTGGACATAGTTTGAGGTGTTTATGTGGGCAATTCTTTCAAGCTATCAGGTAACAGATAATTCCCGTCCTATATCAACAGTTCTAATACAGTAATAAAAATTTCCCAGTTTACTTGAGAATATTAACAGAAATCTCAGAAAGACATCCCTGAAAAGGAAAATTATAAAAGGATCTTTGTTATCAGTTGCAATGTCTCCTCTTCCATTGCTGATTTTGAATCTTCTGTTTTTCTTAGTTTAGCTAAATAAATGTTTGTCAACATTGTCTTTATATTTAAAAAATTTTTTAGTTTAATTGATTAAAAAATTTTTTTTATTTGTGCTCTAGTTTTATTCTTTCTTTCCTTATGCTAACTTTGGGCTTAGTTTGTTTTTGTTTTTCTAGGTATAATGTTAAGTTGCTCATTTGAAATCTTTCTTCCTTTTTAATACAGTATAGACATTTGTTACTATAAACTCCTTGCTGTGTCCTAGTTTGCTGTGGTTTTGTTTGTCTCAAGATATTTAAAAATTTTCCTTGATTTCATCTTTGACCGTCTGGTTGTTTAGGAGTATGTTGTTAATTTCCACATAGTTGTGATTTTTCCAGTTTTCCTTCTGTTATGGATTTCTAGTTTCAGTGTACTGTGCTTGGGGGAAAAAACTTGGTATGATTTCAGTCTTCTTAAATTTGGTTCAGACTTGTTTTGTAACTTAACATGTATGTCCTGAAGAATGTTCTGTGTGTGCTTGAGAAGAATGTGTATTCTGCAGCTGTTGGGTGGAATGTTCTGTATATGCGTTTTCTATTTATTATTGAAAGTGAGTTATTGAAGTCTTTGTCGTATTGCTGTCTTTTTTCCCCCTTCAGCTCTGTCAGTATTTGCTTCATATATTTAGGTGCTCTGATGTTGGGTGTGTATATATTTATAATTGTTATTTCTTCTTGATGAATTGACCCTTTTATTATTATATGGCCTTCTTACTTTTTTGATTTTTTTTTTTTTTTTGAGTTAGCATCTCACTCTGTTGCCTGGACTGGAGTGTAGTGGCATGATCATGGCTCACCACAGTCACAAAATCCTGGGCTCAAAGCAATCCTCCCACTTCAGCTTCCTGAATAGCTGGGACTGTAGGCACATGTTACCATGTCTAGCTAATTTTTTGATTTTTTTAGAGACACGGTCTTGCAGTGTTGCCTAAGCTGGTCTCAAGCTTCTAGGTACAAGCAATCCTCCCACCTTGGCCTACAAGATACTAGGAGTACAGTCATGAGCCACTATGCCCAGCCTCCTTGTGACAGTTTTTGACATGAAGTTTATATTGTCTGATAGTGTAGACATACTGTGCTCTTTAGGTTGCCATTTCCATGGAACCTCTTTTTTTTTTTAATTCCTTTTTTTAAATTCTATGTTGGTCTTAAATCTAAAGTGTCTCTTGTAAACAGCTTATAGTTGGATCTTTTTGCTCATCATTCATTCAGCTATGAAATGCTCTTTGATCAGGGAGTTTAATACTGTTACATTAAAAATAATTATTGATAGGGAAGAATTTATTATTTCCATTTGTTAATTATTTTCTGTCTTTAGTTCTTCTGCCCCTTTTTTCTCTCTTGATGTCTTCCTTTGTGATTTGTTGTTTTTTTTGTAGTGATGTGTTTGATTTCTTTTTTCTTTTGTGTATCTTCTATAGGTATTTTCTTTGTGGTAACCACGAGGCTTATATAAAACAACTTAGAGCACAAGCAATTAAAAAATAGACAAATGGGATTACATCAAAAAAGCCTTTGCCAGCAAGGGAAACAATTAACAGAATGAAATGGCAACATATGAAATGGGAGAAAATATTTGCACACCATATCCAATGTATGCAAGAAACTCCTGTAATTCAACACAGAAAAAACAAATAACCTGGTTGAAAAAATGGGCAAAAAGACATACAAATGATTAAGGTACTGTATATGAGAAGATGTTTAGTATCACAAGTCATCAAAAAATGCAAATCAAAAAACCACAATGACAGTTTACACTTGTTAGAATAGCTAATATCAAAACAAAAGATAAGTGTTGGAGAGGATGTGGAGAAATTGGAATCCCTATACATTGTTGATGGTAATGATGTAAAATCGTGTAGCTGCTATGGAAAATAGTGTGGAGATTCCTTTTTTTTTTAAGTTGGAGTCCCACTCTGTCGCCCAGGCTGGAGTGCAGTGGCCGCTCCTGGCCACCGCAGCCTCAACCTGCTGGGCTCCGGCGATCCTTCTGCTCAGCCTTCCAAGTAGCTGGAACTACATGCGCGCGCTACCACGCCTGGTTAATTTTTAAATTTATTGTAGAGATGAGATCTTGCCAAGTTGCCCAGGTGGGTCTCAAACCCACGGGCTCAGGCAATCCACTCACTTCAGCCTCCCAAAGCGCGGGATTACAAGGCTGAGCCACCGAGCCCGGCTGAGATTCCTAACAAAGTTAAAAATAGAATTACCATATGATCCTATTTCTGGGTACATAGCTGAACGAGTTGAAATCAGAATCTCAAAGAGATCTAATGTTCATTGCAGCATTATTGACAATAACCAAGATCTAGAAACAAACTAAATGTTTATCAACAGATGAATAGGTAAAGAAAATGTGGGATATACACACAATGGAATATTATTCACTATGCTACATGAAATAAGCCAGTCACAGAAAGACAAATACTGAATGATTCTACTTATCAGAAGTATCTAAAAATAGTCAAACTCATAGAAACAGAGTAGAATGGTGGTTTCCGGGGGCTGATGGAGAAGGAAAAACTCAGAATTGATGTTCAATTGAAGTTGAAGTTTCAGTCATACAGATTGATGTTCAGAGTGCTTAACTTTAGTTAGCAACAGAAATAGAAGTACATCTGTTTCATAAATTGGGGAGATGTGGCATAATTTAAAACATTTTAATATAAAGTCAAATGTTACTATGTCATCAAATAGGATGCCAAGTTATAATGACTTTATAGGTAAAAAACAGAAACCTCAAAATATTTTATATTTTTGGTAGCTTTGAGTACTGATTCTATCCTCCAGGAAAAGGTAGTAGTTCTAGTCCCCTATTCTTAGGGTTAAAATATTAGGAGGTAGATCAGCCTCTGTAATAGCCAAAAGTATAATGTTTCAAATAAGGAAGACATTTTTCTTTTATGTCATCATCTGGGGTGGAAAAGTAAACTGTGTTCCTTGAGGTCGTCCAAGGTCCCAGGCTGGCTGGGCAATTGAGCTAACCTTATGTGTAGCTTCCAGTGTTGTTCTGGGCATCATCATTTTCAGTGGATAAGAATAATAGTGATGATAGTGGTGGCATTAGTGGAGGAACTTGGAGGTCAAGAACTTGATTTAAAGGATAGGAAACAAGTTATACTTAACACTGTTGTTTGTATCCTATTCTTCTGAACCTTGTTATGTGATCACAAATAGCTGCAAAACAAACATGAAATTTCTTCCATTTGGTGGCTATGTGGTCAGCAAAAATTTAGATGAGGAACTGCTATTACTTAAAAGGAAGATGAGAATACATACTGGTGGACAATAGTAAGCTATCCTTTATTTACTTTAGTGGAAAATTTTTAGAGGAACTCTCTGAGTGGTCTTAATTATTGTAGCCATTTTATTCTGTAGTTAACTGTCTTTTTTTGGCTATGTTCTTTGACCTGTTATATTATAAAAGACTCATATGACTTTCATGGTCAAATCTTAGCCTCGATATAAAACTAATGTTGTATTGGACTACTTCAAGTAAGAACCTGTTTATATTTTCTAGGGTTTACAGAGCCCACGGGAAATAGGATGCAAGCCAGAAGCTGTATGTAGTCACATTATTTTTGAGAGCCATGAAAAAGGATGTGTCAGAACTCTAACTGCCGAACAACCACAACTGGACAGCCACCCTTGTGTTTTCAGATCTGCTGAACCCTCAGAAATGATCAGAGGACGATGGAGCCCATCATCGTGCAGAGCCAGACACATCAGTCTTTCTGCGGCCCTAGACCAGAACAACCCCCATTTCAAAGTTTGGAATTCCTTGCAGTTACAAAGTCATTCCCCATTTCAAAACTTTATACCTGATGAATTCAAAATTAGCAAGGAGCTTCGAATGCCATTCCATGAAAAGATGGACCCTTGGCTGTCGGAATTAGTAGAACCTGCTTTTGTGCCACCTAAAGAAGTGGATTTTCATTCTTCATCACAAATGCTGCCCCCAGAACCCATGAGAAAGTTTACTACCTCCATCACTTTTTCATCTCACCGACATTCTAAATGCATTTCAGATTCCTCTGTTTTTAAGGTTGGTGTTACTGAAGGTAGCCAGTGTACTGGAGCATCTGTGGGGGTATTTAATTCTCATTTTTCTGAAGAGCAAAATCCTCCTAGAGATCTAAAACAGGAAACCTCTTCCCCTTCATCATTTAAAATGCGTAGTCATTCACCAGATAAAAATAAAGATGTGACTATTTTAGAAGAAGGTAGTAGGCAAAGTCAAAAATTACCAGTTGATTTTGAGCATTCTCATCAAGAAGAAAAACTCTTAGAAAGATTAGATTTTAAAAGCAGTCATTCTGAGCCCAGTGCCAGTGCAAATTGTAACAATTTCAAGGAAATTCAATTTTCTAATAACCATACCCTCATTAGCATGGGCAGACCAAGTTCCACCCTAGGAGTAAAAGAGAAGAATGTAACTATAACTCCAGATCTTCCTTCTTGCATTTTTCTTGAACAACGAGAGCTATTTGAACAAAGCAAAGCCCCACATACAGATCATCATGTGAGGAAACAACATTCTCCCCCTCCTCAACGTCAGGATCATGTAGCTCCAAACCTTCCTTCTTGCATTTTTCGTGAACAACGACAACTCTTTGAACAAAGCAAAGCCCCACATGTAGGTAGTCACATGGGAGAAAACCATTCTCCCCTTCCCCATGGTCAGAATTATATGGCTCCAGACTTTCCTTCTCCCGTTTTTCTTGACCAGCATCAAAGCAAAGCCCCAGGTGTAGATGATCACATGAAAAAGCACCATTTCCCCCTTCCTCAAGGCCAGGATTGTGTAGTAGAAAATAATAACCAACATAAGCCTAAATCATACACTTCTAATATGATAAATGTTGAAGCCAAGTTCAATAATGTGGTCTCCCAGTTGGCCCCAAATCACTGTACATTAGCAACATCTGCATCTACTCCACCTTCAAATAGAAAAGCACTTTCTTGTGTTCGTATAACTCTTTGTCCCAAGACTTCTTCCAAGTTGGATAGTGGAACCTTAGATAAAAGATTTTATTCATTGGATTCTGCTTCTAAAACAAGGATGAATAGTGAGTTTAACTTTGACTTACAAACTGTGTCTTCGAGAGCATTGGAACCAACCTCCAAATTATTGACCAGTAAACCTGTAGCACAGAATCAAGAATCTTTAGGTTTTCTAGGACCTAAATCTTCAGTGGACTTCCAAGTCATACAGTCTTCTCTTCCAGATGGTAACAATGTTACTCAGATCTTGAAAACCATACCTTCTCAGAATAGCCAGATAGTAACCTCAAGGCAAATACAAGTGAACATGTCAGATTTGGAAGGATACTCCAATCCAGAGGGGACTCCGGTATCTGCAGTTCGGTGAGTCTCATTGTGATAACAAACAAGATGATGGAATTTGTGATAAAAGAGTTTAAGATACTTAGGCAGATGTAAATTCTTATGGGGAAGGCAGTGTGAGATCTCTGATGGAAGATTGTATCTGACTAATCTGCTAAAAATCTTTGAAGGAATAAATATGTAAGTAAGAGAGAACATGCAAATATATTGTACTGTGTTTATACTTTCAAAGGGTTTTTGGCAAGACTTGACATCAGGTGTTTCAATGAATTGAATTACTTTGAGAAGAATCTTTAATCATCCAACGGTACACTTAGTAATTTCTTATTTATTGTGTTGAATTTCTTATTTATTGTGCTGAAGATATCCTTTGGGAGGTTGCACACATGCACATGTGTGCTTTCTCTGTCTCTGTCTGTCTGTCTCTCCCCCGCTCTTTCTTCTCTACTCTCCATTTTATGATTTCCATCAAATATTTAGTATTTACAAAGAAAGTAGCTTTACAATGAAAACTCCTGGGAGATACCACTTTAATCAAGTGATTAGCATTAGCAGTAAAGCATATCAATGTAATGTGCTTTCTTATGTGATGACCCACTTCACAATGTATTGTAGGAAAGGAAACCCAGTTCAGGGATAAATGCGTTGGATTTATATTCAACCTAATTTTAGCACCTTGTCATTAATTCAGTTTTACCTTAACTAGTCTCTTACAACATGGTACAACAGAATTATCTGTGTATTTGATGTTTTACCTTATAGTTAAGAAGGCATTTTACCACAATGGACTGGGCTTGGAAGAGAGGAAGAGAAAGAATGTTTATTTAACATCTACATGTGATAGTATTCATGGCAATGTTGAATTTACACATGCTATCTTATTTGTCTTCATGACAACCTTATGAAGTAGTTAATGAGATCCCTATTTACCCACTGGGAGACCGAGACACTGACATTACTGCTTGTGCCAAGAGATGCTGTTTGTAAGCAGGAAAACAGGTATACATATACAGTCTGTTTAACCAAAACAAGAACTAGTTCCCCTACAGTCTTGAACAGCCTTCTAGAATCTTGAACCCTACTTCAAATTCTTCTTTCAGCCATGATCCTGAACAGCTCATTTAATATCTTTGGCACGCATATGTGGGAGATGGTAGAAGTAAAGGTTTGGAAAACTGAAAGGTTTACAGCTCTAAAAGTCAGTGAATATTGAATTGGAGCAAAAAAAAAACCAAGGTTAATCTCTGTCTTCAATATTATAAATGGTAGAGTGCTATAGGAATAAGTACTGTTACTTTTTTTTTTTAGAAATGTTTAGAAATTAGAAGATTGACAACTTTATATATAATATTTCAACTCTTCAAAGTTTAAGTGCCAAGTTATTAGAGCTAAATTTCTTCTTTTTTTTTAAGATTAGAAAATATAGTTTATTAAGAAAGTAAATTGGAGTGAGAGAGAGACAGAAAGAGAGAGAGAGAAAGGGGATTCACCTCCCCAAGGGAGGGGAGGGGGCCAAAGTTTAAGAAAACATGGCCTAGCCATAGCTCAAAGAGCACATGACCACACCATAGCTTAGCAAGACAATGACCTGGAGCTAAATTTCTTAAAAATCAGATAAAGCTATGAATGAGAAGAATGTAATAGATTATTATAAATATGGACTAATAATGATGCCATTTGTTCAGAATGCACATTTTTAGCAGATGCCTATATCATTTTATATTTAGTATAATCATCAGAGATAGATATTATTATCTCAGTTTATAGATTTTAAAAAGCTGCAACTTAGAAAGTATTTCTAAGATCACATGGCCATTTGAACCTAGGTTTGTTCAACTCTGGAGCCAATAAATAATTCAAACTACACACACACACACACACACACACACACACACACACACACACACACACGTATGTGTATAGATGCATAAAACATATCTGCAAGTATATATATATAATGTTTTTTAGTTTGTTTGTTTGTTTTTGAGTTGGAGTCTCAGTCTTGTCGCCCAGGCTGGAGTGCAGTGGCATGCTCATGGACACTGCATCCTCCATCTGCTGGGCTTAGGCGACCTTCCACCTCAGCCTTCCAAGTAGGTGGAACTACAGATGCATGCCACCATGCCCGGCTAGTTTTTGTGACTTATTTTAGAGATGAGGTCTCACCAAGTTGCCCAGGCTGGTCTCAAACCCCTGGGCTCAGGCGGTTCTCTCCTTGGCGTCCCAAAGTGCTGGGGTTACAGGCTGAGCCACTATGCCTGGCTTAAAATGTTTTTAAACTTTCTTATTTTGAGATAATTTCAGACTTAGAGAGGAGTTGGATAAATAGTACAAAAAGTTCCTGTCTTAGTTACATATTGCTGTGTATCATATTACTCTGAAGTGTGCTAACTTAAAACAGTAAACATCATCTAAGATTTCTGTACGTCAGAATCTAGGCATAGCCTATATAGGTACTTCTGACTCAGATTCTCTCAAAAGGTGGCAAAACAAGGTATTGGCCACAACTGCGGTCTTATTGCAAGTTTCGCCTCAGAGGATAGGCTTCTAAGCTCACTCACATGGCCATGGCTGTTGACCAGAGACATCAGCTTTCTGGCTCTATAAAACAGTTCGCAATATGATACCTAAATTACCCTCAGAATCAGCAAGTGAGAGAGCAGAAGAGGGTGCCCAAGACAAAATCCACAGACTTTTTGTAACCTGCCCTTGGAAGTGACATCTCGTCATCTCCACCACATTCTGTTTGGTAGAAATGACTGACTATCTGCAGCTCACACTTGAGTGTTGAGAATTACACAACCTGTGGCAGTTTCTCAATCTTTTTTTTTTTAATTTGAAAGATGTGGGGTACCATTCAGGATTAGGTATACGAGTGGTCATCGTACAGGTAAAGTTGAAAAGTACTGATCAGTTATTTTGAAGAAAGTTCTCAAGATTAGATTAAGTTGGGGTTATGCATTCTCAATACATCACAACAGGGACCACATTATGATGATATGCATTACTGGTGTGGTTAACCTTGATCACTTGGCTACAGTGGTATCTGCCAGGAATCGCCACTGTAAAGTTACTGGTTTTCTTGGTAGATGCTAAATATATGGAGGAGATTATGTTAGACTGTGTAAATATCCCATTTCTGCTTAACCTTTGATCACTAGTTTTAAAAGCATCTATCTGTGGATCTTGACTGTGGCAATTACTACTCTGGTGTTCTAATGATGTTTTGTATGTATTTTAACTCTTCTATATGTATTAATTGGAATTCTGTGAACAAAAAGCTATTGCTTCTCCCCCATTTATTTATTCCTCATTTCATTTTTCAGATTATAATGCAATATTACTATTATCTTTGTTGCTCAAGTTGTTTCCATTTTAGCTATTTAGAGCACTTTTAAGTTGGCTTTTGTACCCTGCCCCAGCCCTGGAATCAACTCTTTCTCCAAAAAACCCCTCACTTCTTTTTTTTTGGGGGGGGCGGGTTGGTATTTAGAAAGCAAGATGTAATCACCAGATAAGCTCATTGCTGCTGAGATGTCCCCATTTCTAGCCTTTCAGTGAATAAAGCTATGAAATATATATATATATATATATATATATATGGATGTTAACTTATATATATACCCACATCTATATCTTTTTCCCTATCTATTAAAACCATGAGTCCATATTGATGTCTCTGACTCCAATCCAGAATCATAGGGTTGATTCTAGCCTTTCCTCTCTTTTCCTCTTTTAAAATTTGTAACTTCTTTCTCTAATAGTGATAAACCTGGCTCTCATTATCTCTAATATGCAAGGGAAGACCCCAAAAAACCCTCAAATTGTTTTTTGGAGGGAAGTCTCCTTGTAGTTAAGGCGTCCTTTGCTAGTTAAGTATTTTAGAACCCATTGGCATCGGTGTACCAGTTAGCATTGTTGTGAGAGGTTGCATTCAGCTTCAGTGTTTTTTTTTTTTTTTTTGATTCCTTCAACATGTTTGTCCATTTCATGATGGGTGATTTACGAGTGCACCTGCCTACACTGCTCTGAGTGTTCAGCAGTTTTTGACCAAAAATGGCATGACCCCCATGCCCCCGCCCCCTTCCTTTTCACTTGATCTTATCCCAGCAACTTTTTTTGTTTTCCTGGATGAAAAAAGTCCTCAAAGGGAAATGTCTTGCCAGTGTGGAAGAGGTGAAACAAAAAAAGACAGAAGCATTAAAAGGCATCAAAATTGACAGTTTGAAAACTTTTAAGCAGTGGAAAAAGCATCTCACTAGATGTATTGTATCAGATGGAGAGTACTTTGAGGGTGACTGAGGTTTAAACATATAAGAATAAATTCAAAATTTTTTATAAGTAAATTCTGGGAGTTTTTTTTTGGTTCCCCCTCACCACATTTACCCCAGTATGTAAATAAAATAGTTTCAGAATTGCTAACCCATACCGATGTGAGAATAAATTCTCTAACTAGAGTACTGTGATTATGTACAGTTTTTGAATTTAGCGTTGTAATATCTAGACAAAATGTTGTTTGCTAAAGTTTCTTAGGTCAGCTGCTTTCTTCCCCATACCCTTCAGTATGTGATTTGTTTATAATCCAGTTAGATTCATTAGTCAGGTTCTGCATTCTCTCTTTGCCTCATATTCTAGCTGACTTTTAGCAATTTACAAACTGTAAATTTCACTTTCCATGGTTTACAATTATGCTGATCACCACGGTTCCATATAAGCAGCTCCATTAATCCAAAAATTCCCCCATGCCATGTTCACTTTTACCTTCTGGAGCATTTAATAATGGCAGCTTTAGAGACCTTTTGTCAGAGAATTTGAACATCTCTTTCATTTCAGCATTGGTGTCTGTTGATTGTCTTTTTCCATGTGATATAGTTTGGGTATTTGTCCCCTCCAAATCTGATATTGAAAATTTGATCCTCCAGTGTTGGAGGTGGGACCTAAAGGGAGGTGTTGGGTCATGGGATTGAATCCCTCATGAATGGCTTGGTGCCTTCCCTGAGGTAATGAATGAATTCTTCTCT